CTTTTGCAAGAACTTTCACCATAACATATGTTATGTTGATCATTTTTTTGTGATCTGCAACAGTGTCCACTATGCTTTAATGATCGGCAAATTTTTGTAGTTGTTTCACAGATTACGATATTTTGTGTAATAAACTCGTTACCTTTTTTGGTTAATCTTATGCTCAAATTGAATGTTGATCATATTGTAAAAAGGGGGTGCTATCTTTCAAGACTTCACGGTATGATGCAAGTCACTTCCCACAACCTTTTATTGGTTGTTTAGATTTTCAAATTCTCCAAAAATGGAAATGCAACACCCCAAAATAAATCATATATTTGAAGCCAAGACCTTCCTCTACAAAATCACGATTTCATGTCATGTTGTTGTGGAGAATTTGAGCTTCAAAGTTGCACAGGTTTACTGAACTTACTATGTTTAGTCCTAAAATGACGTGTTACACACAAAAAAGTTAATATAAAAAATAGATGAATTGAAACAAAATAAAAAATTGAAAATTTCCCTTATATTGCAGATCTTTTGTCACGTGAATTTTCCAGATGAACGGGAAGAGAATTATTAAAAAAAATACAAAGAACAGCTAAGTTCTTTTATTTTAAATCTAATAAATGACTATTGCATTAATCAAAGAAATATGAAATTTACAAAATATTCTAATGAACATTTATCAATTATTTAATAGTTTGTGTAGGAGTAAGCTTTAAGGACAAGCAAGGTCTATGAACAAAATATACTAACAAAGGTTTTATCAATCATTCAATAGTTATATAAATTTCTCTTTTATTTTAACTAATATTTAATAACATCATTATAATCATTATTGTTGTTGTTTATTGTTCTAATCATCAGTTACATAAGTATATATAGGAATAAATGTAAAAGAAAAATTTTAATATATTTATTTAGCACTTGACAATTTTCAAAAATCATGTGACTGTAAAATTTTTATTGGAAATTTTTTCTCAAAATTATAGAAGTTGATCCTATTACAGTCTAAGCTCTCTATACCAAGCCCCCCTGTCCCTATATGTAATTTTTTCGCTTTTGTTCGTTATAGAGAGAATTAATTATAAAAAATTGAATCTGGGACAAAAGGGAAGTTCGTTATAAAGAGACTTATTTATTATCAATATCAAATATTTCCTATATCAAAATTACATCATTCGAAATCCATGAATACAAGCAGGTGAAATGGTTGATATCATGATAAAATACGAATCAGTCTATGGTAGACTTAAAATATAAACAATAATATTAATAATAGTAGTAGCAATAGTAATAATGACAATAATAATAATATCAATAGTACGATAATAAATGTCGGCGGAATCCGGAAGGACAAAAAGAATTTATTATTGTATTTAACATGGAAGATAGGATTCAGTGCAATAATGATAACGCTGATGTGTTTGATGATTCATGTGGCAATACATTGACACCTGATTCATCGCCTAGAAACAATTTCAGATTGTTCATTTAAATCATTGTCTTTTATCAACAATTATAACAATGACAGTTCATACTGAAGACAATAATACTAATATTAATCTCTTTGGTGAATAAATAAATGTATTCGCAGAATACTTTTATTTTTCAACAATATGATTTATTCGTTATTTTATTATTGTACCATTATAAAAATATAATATAATCAAAATAAAATTTATTCTGATGATGGTTCACCAAAACCAATGTTTATTGGTGAGTCATCATTTTCTTGTGATATTAATGCTGATACCGACATCATATTCGATTGTTCATTTAATTCATTATCAGAGTTTTGTTGTTGCATGCCATCCAACACAGCCTTTTGATGCTCTCTTTCAACGTATTTGAACGCATTTTCCAACTCAACCTTTATTATATCTTCTTTTAAAACTATATTTGAAGCTTTAGCCAATTTTTTTGATATTGTCTCTAAACATTCAACATCAAGAGTAATCCTTGCCAATTCGATAAGAAATCGAATGTACTGATGAACATATACAAAATGTCTTCCTGATCTATTTAATGGATATATATTTACTAGTTATTAAGATTATAAAACAATTTCTTTTAAAAATTCAATGTATATATATATTAATATTAATTAACACATATTACCTTTCAAATTCTGGTTTCCATACATTCATCATTGCTTTAGACGTGACTTTCAACTGGAAAAGATTTTGTAATATCAATTTGGCTTCTTCTGATTTCCGCTCAACATGATAAGTTAACCATGCATGCTAAATAATAAATTGATTGATGTGATAACATTATAAACAACCAAATATATACATAAAGTTAATTGAAATAAAATTTACCCTAAATACAGGTCGATGTTGCCATTTATTTTTGTCCATTTTACGAATATCAGCTATTCTTGAAGAAATTAAATTGTATGCATATTGATATTCTGGCCTTTCCATATTAAAACTACCAGGATCTTTATCTGATGGCTTTAAATGTAATGGTGCGCCTGAATTATCTGACAGCATTTCCTCTACAAAATATGGCTAATCCCATTCATTTTTAAAATAAAATGAGTATATATTATTGAAAATTTTGAAAAATTAACTAACTAATTTTTACCTTAATTTTACTGGTTATCATAAATTTTGCCAATGTAGATGTTAACTTATATTCCGTATCTACTAGTCTTTCTTGTCCAATTATTCCTGATTTTTCCGGAGTTCTATCAACTGCTAATTTATATAAACATAGTACCGACTTTGCAATTTTTATGTAACATTATTATTTTTCAAAGAGGAAAAACATATTGAATAACTATGCGTCAAAAACATAATACCTCTGCTGGTTTTCCTAGCTTTTGATAACACTTTCCAAGCATGTATGGCAATCTCCAATCTTCTTCATATATTATTGAATTGCCGTTGCTTTCATTTACCTTTAACTTTTTAAACAGTAGTTTTTCCGATTCTAATGCTCTACCAAAACAATGTGCTGCAAATGCATATAAATCATTGGGATTAGGTTTACGCCAGATGTCAGAATGATCCGGATTCAATTTGAAGGCTTCCATTGACATAGGTTCAGTTGTCATTGAATAAACAAGATATCCAAATTCTCGCCAGAAATTAATTTCTTCGGTTGGTGAAGTAGGTGCATGATGATTCGGAAACCAAGTTAAAATTTTAGCAGATCTTACAAAACAAAGAAAAGATTTCTGAAAATATATATATAAAAATTAAAAAAAATTCTTTGATGTTTTCCAATCATAGTCAAAGCAAAAAAAAATATAGTGATACCTTTTGAAATTCTGTAATTTTTGCATGACTATTAACAATTTCAATAGCATTCCACGTTAAAGATTCATCAGCCAAACTAGCATAACAGGAGCCGAGGGCATACCAAGTTGAATATCTTAATGGGCAGATGTAATAATCTAACTAATAAATTAATAAATATAATTATTTATTAATATTTAAGCAAGCACTTGAAAGATATTAAGAAAAAGTCATATGATTTCTATTTTCTTACTGTGAATTGTTCTATTGCCTTTTCCAATAATTCAATCGCTTTATATTGATTTGATTTTGATGAACGACTTTTGAATTGATGGTGTAAGATTTTGCCACGAAAATAATAAAGATCTGAAATATCTTTTAAAAGCAAGTATTAAGTTAAATAATCAAATACTTAAAAAAAATCAAAGATATAAGATAAATAAAAATAAAGTCTACCATTCTCCTCATCACAAGAAATTGCAGCAAGATCATTAATATAATGATCATGCTCTTGATACTGAACAGCTTCATAAAAACAGATTTCATCTTCTAAGTAATGTTGTGTTCTATAGCTACATTTTTTTAATTCTACAAAAATTTCTTTTTTAGTAATCATAAATTATTAATAAATATATATTTATTATCACTATAATTACACCTACTTTCATCTGTTGGTGGTTCCACTATAGAAGCCATAGCGTCTAAAAACTCTTTGATATCGTTTTTGAACACCCAGGTTTTTGATGATTTTTCACTTATAAAATTTCTTACTCTTTTATAAATTAATTTTGCAGTTTCAAAATCCAATTCAATTGCTGGCACGTCATGATCCCATGGCAATTCTGCATCAATCTAAAAAAAATCAAATTTTAATCATAATAGGAAAAACAATAAATAATATATATATATTTCAACATACAGTTAATGAAACCCCATATAAACAGTGACAGCATTGGTATTCATGTTGAAGGTTTTCGGATGCATCCAATTCAGCAAATGTGTTGAGGCAAAATTTTAAAAATGAACCTGTTTACATAAATTTGAGATAAATTGATTAAATATTTAATAAACAGGTATAAACAATTATACAAAAATCTATAACTTAAAACATTACCGTTATCTGAACAACAAATCCTTCGAGCGCCTAATTGATCATGAACAGTTGCAAGAAATTCAGCAAAATCATCATTCTCCACATATGAAGGAGCTCCACGTAATATATAATAAAATAATATCCAAACACGAATACAAAGGACATTAAGTGGTTCACTAATATCATATTCAGCAGTAGAAAGTTCTTGCTTCCGAGGGAAAAGGATTAATAGACTTATGTGATATAAAACCCGAAAATTTTCAATAAATTGTTGTTGTAAATTCTCTGATAAGTTTGCTATTCAAAATCAAAATCAAAATCAAAATCAAAATCAAAATCAAAATCAAAATCAAAACCGAAACCAAAATAATAATAATAATAAATAAACTGTAATAATGATTGTAATTTTTTTTAAAGAAGCAAACCTATAGATTGGCCATCCTTTATGGCATTAGTAACTTTCGAAAGTGCTTCATTAATCTATCATAAAACCAATTAATATTAATGTTAATATTACCAGCATTGACAAATATTATACAAGAATTTCTTAACTGAATGTATGGTAGTCCAAAATTGAACAACCAAATCTTCATCAATATTATCCGAAACACAATTCAACAAAAAGTTTACTGAGTCTATAAAGTGTAATATTGTACGTGACCAATTGTCTTGTGGTAAATCTTTTTGAGATTCTAACAAGTCAATTTTATTATTTATGGTTGTGTTATTTATATATGGATCAAATGAACTTAAAAGAAATATTAGATTTAATACTTAATTTTATAAGAAATAAAATCGTTTTTTTGAAAATATTTCATATTACCTATTTGTCAATAAAATGTCATTAATTTCGGTAAGCAAAGTAAGTTCTTTAAAAGAAGACATTGCCCTTTCTGGATTTTTTAAAAATAAAGACATTTTGCCTTTGCACCACCAATATCTAATGCAATTAATAATAATTTAGCATTATAATTAAGAACAAAAGATATTCAAGTAATCTTATGCATTATATTACCTTGTAAGTAATTGATGTGACCATTCCTTCCATTTTTTGTAATGACATTGTAGTTTTCCAACATCGCCAATAGATTTTTCTAACTTTGCTTCTAAATCAAGTACATAACTGGAGAAATTCCAGTTTGAAGAAATGAGGGACCATTCACAATCTTCTATTACTAATTGCCATTCCTAAAGTAAAAAACATAGATTTATATCTGTTATTAATGTCCTTAGGACGCAATATATATTTTAAATCTTAACTAAATCTTACTAAAGATGTTTTTAAAGAAACGTTAGAAGTAGCTTGATTATCATCTTCGTTTATATATTCTCCTGATCTAGATATGTGAGAATCAATAGCAAATTCAAAAAAAGCCAATAAAATCTAATGCATGCATGTGTGTGTACATATGCGTTAACAAATATATTTTTTGAAAAGTTTAATGTACTTTTATTGATTGCTTCTTTTTTATTTATATAAATATACCTCTGAAAGTTGCTTCCTTTTTTGGAAAGGGGATGTTTCACTTTCATCCATCATTATTGCTGCATTTCCATCGTCACCATTCCATGCAGAACAGGTATTTGATAACATATCTATAAACTGTTCATATATCCTGTTAATAATATCTCTTACAATGTCTTTTAACCCTTCTGGCCAACGACACAGCCAGAGAGTTTTCTTTTTTATTTCTTGATCTGAATCTTCTGAATCTACAAACTTTCCAAATAGGTACATAAGATAGGAACACAAATAATCTATTATCCCCACATTTTTCTCATTCATTTTTTCGACAAATTGTTTTACCATTTCTCCAACTTGAGTTTCATCAAAATATGGATCAGGGGGAGGTGGGTTTGTATGAGGAATAAACATGTACAAACTAGAGTCAGAAGATAATTTTGATCTTTTATACAATATAAATATCTTAATTAATAAGCCGATAATAATTCAAAAAAAAGCATCATAATGTAAATATACCTTGGGTTATTTTTAGCCTCTTTAATTATCGCTTCATGATCTTCGATGGATACGTGGTTCATCCATAGCTTGTCGAAGAATAATAAGAATTTATCAACTTCTTCGGATGGATGTTTATTTCTAATAGAATATTCAGGATTAATTTTCTTAATAATTGACTCTATTTTGTTTGTAAATTCTTCTGTTTCTTCATCTCGTTTACGATTAAACGAATCGATTTGTTCATTTTGTTTAGTACGAGCTCTTCTGTTAAGTCTTCATTTTAATAAATTGTTATTAGAATGGTAAAATTATTATTTGTATATAATGATTTTTGTTTAGAATATTACATACCCATACCTTGCAACCTTTGATTTTCCACAGGTATAATCAGTATTTGTTGTTGTATCCTTTCTTTTGCGTTTTTGACAAGCACCATTAATATCATTGTCTATAAAAGTTTTTTCTTGATAATTTTTTAAATCTATATAGATATGAGGACTCGAAGCAGGAAAATTGGAATCATCACTTTTATGACATTTCCTAAATATTTAATTTAATAATTTTAAAAAATGAATTATATAATGATATAAAAAAATTTTTTAAAAATAACAAGTTACTCTGTAGCTATTTTATCGCAAATTCTTATTAAAAGTTCTCCAAGATCATTCCATGTATAAGTGTTTAAAACAAAACACAATGAATTCATCGGAGTATGACTAATGTAACCTAGGAAATAAATATATTAAAATAAAGACAATGTGTATATAAATTATTATTATTATACTAACTCATCGTTCTAATATGTCTTTGTATATATTTGAAATTTATAGGTTTTTTTATCGGAGGAGCAATTTCATAATAATTTCTAATAAATATAATCAGTTAATAAAATTGTTTGAAAGAAAATTTATGATAATTCTAAATTTTAAATAAATTTTTTTTACTGTGGTAAAATAAGTTTAACCCAGGTATCATTTAAAAGTTGGTATCTTAATTGGTTTAGAAATCCATTTTCAGGATCAAGAGTTATGCCTTTATCAACTATATTTAGGCATCTTTCAAAAGATCCTGTATCATATAATAGCTATAAAATTTAAAAATATTATAAGTGTAGATAGATAAACTGGACAAACATGTATACCTATATGTATATATTGAACATACCTTAGATAGATTTTCTAAAGCTTCCTTACGATTTGGAGAAAGAAATGTATATTTCAATGGCTTGTCTATTGAATTATCAAAAATATTTAAATCTTCAAGTGCATTTATAAATGCATTTTCTGCTAATGGGAGATCGTTGACTTCATCAGAAATAGCAAGATTTCCAATCTTGAGCCATATACTCTGATCAGTTGAATCAATCTCCAATGCCTATATTATTTAAATATATATATTTAATGGAATAATACAACTCAATTATCTTTTAATATGGTATGGAAATTTTACCTTTTGAAAATATTCAATTGCGTCTTGAGCAGAAATTTTTGATTTATTATGAAGATATTCATGATCTAAATTTTCAGCATAATTTTTTAATGCACAAAATTTTAATCTAGTGATTCTTTGTGATAATAATGTTCTGTTGTCTGATTCCTAAAGAAAAATTTTAAATTAATCGGTTGTTTGGATGAATAAATTAGTTTTTATATATTATTTACCTGAAACAAGGAATCCTGCATTAAGTCGTGCTTTAAGAGTTTATGATATAGTTGTCTTGCTTTTTGAAGATCGCTTCGTAAAGCTAAATTATAGAGTGTCTCGCATTCTCGTAACTGATATGCAAACACTTGAAATTAGTAAAATAAATAAATATTTTTAAAAAATAATAATAATGATAATTAATTTACTGGAGCATCAAATGGATCTTTAGGTTTTTCAACTTCTGCGAGTTTATTGTTATCATTTATAGCAGTAAATTGTATCACCTATTTTGAATGAGAGATTTAATATAGTATATTCGACTTTGCAAACATCAATAAACTTTTAAATTGGATACATACAACCATTTTCTTTTGTTAGTTTTGAGAGGGAAAAGATGCAAGAAAAATTTTTTTTAATGGGAAAAAAGGTATAATTATTATAATTGTGAAAATAATAGAACAACTAACAAATTAATCGTGTGCGTGATCAGGAGATCTGCAGAGTTAATTGTAAATAATCTAAATTCTTTAACCCAAATTTTAATAAAATAGAATCTAAATCTTGAAGCTTTAAGTTGGAGTAAAAAAGAAATGGCTGTCGATGCTGTCAGCATTTATTATTAGTAATGGAAATAGGCTCAGATACATGGAAATTAATGGTTCCCCAATTGATAAGGATTAGTTGATTGAACTCATTAAATCAATCAGACAAATTAAAAAGTACCATTTTTTTTAATAAAGGATAAGTACCGCAACTAAAGTATCGGCTAGGATGTTGTGAGCCCATCAAGGCTCGCTGAACCTGTGCTACATAGAAAATGGACAATCTTGGCCATATTAAGGACTTCATTTCTTTTTTTTCTTCATTTTCTAAAGAGGGAGGTTCCTTGATTCCATGTTCTGATACTTGACGTTTTTATAATGTAGAAGCCAATATATCAGCATATTATTTATTATTTTCCAAGGCCTTGGACTTTCCTTCGTCGTAATTTGATATATAAAAGTTCCAAACTCATTAATTAAACCTCTTTCTTTGTACCTTCATGTGTTTTATAGTTTTATGCCCAGACACACCTTCCATAACTACTAGCTTATCATCACCATATTTTGATATTTTTGTTCATTAATAAATTTAAATTTCTTTTTCATAGAAATTCAAAATTACAATATAGTTGGTTATTTCAGTCAATTCACCAATTTCATAATTGACTCTTTAAATCTTTTGTGTTATTTATTATTACTTAGATTTCTTTTATTTGCTGTATATCTGAGGGTTGCACAGTAAATCAGATCTCCCCTATTTGGAAAAATTTAATTATTTTCTATATATTCCATCTTTCTCACTCTCACCCATTTTTTTCCTTTATTGCTTTTTTTTGATTTTGCTGATTTCTTTCTTATTTCCTTATTATTATAAAACTTTGAATGGACCGAGTTAAATATTAATATTAAATCAAAACCAACTGAAATTTTGGATCAGTTTTGAGTTTGACCTGAATGTTTTAAAGGCAAACCCAAGACTGACCCAAAATTTTTGAGTTGGTTTCAAGTCTGATATTATATTTTGCACTAAGAAAGTAAGTCCTAACAAATTCGCATATGAAAATTTATATTTCTGCTAATCTTTCAATTAAAAGAATTTTATTTTATTTGCTCATTTTATTAATTAAAATAAAAAGTGAAATAGTTATATAACATCCATCAATAATAAAATTTTAATATATGTCAATAAATATATATGTGCACACACTTTTTTGAATCAATAACTCGCATTATCCTTGTATTAAGAAGCTCATTATAGTAAAAAATTTTTTTTGTGATTTCTATTCAACATCACTTAATTAAAAAATTATTTTTACAGATTGAGTTTGGGTTTGGATTGAAGTTTTTTTGTGTACAAATCAGGTTCAGGTTGAGATTTTATAATTTTTTTGTATACAAGTTGGATTCGGGTTGAGATTTTTATAATTTTTTTAATGGCAGGTTGGATTTCAGGTTGGGTATACATTCAATTATGGTGACCTATGCAAGCCTCTAATAGAAGTGATAAATTTTGTTGATCAATATTAGTGATATGAGACAGCCAAGAAATTTTATCAGTTTAGCCTGCTAATGAATTTTTAATGACTTAGGTGGCTAAATTAATTAGATGATATAAAAAATATCTCTTAATGTTCATTTTTACATCTGGGATTACTTAGAATGTCAAAAAAAAAAACATACGATATTCATAGCAGGATAAAAGATAACAATAGAGAAAGCAATCTTTGATATTTGATGTTACTATCCAATTGAACCTTTGAGGCAATGTTGTGCAATTGGAGCATTGTCGGAATGTTCCAATGTGGTTCCAATATGGATCTTCAATTGATATTGACCAATAAAATTCATGCGTGTGACACTGTAATTGAATTCCATTGGTTAACTTCATTGGAACCACATTTAGAATGTTCCGATGAAAATTTATTGGAACCATAAATGGCATAATAATAACACTGCTTTGAGGTATAATAGAGAAGAACGCTATATTAAATTCAAAACATCCCCCTTCTTCAGCTTTTTCTTTAGTAGTTTCATTTATTGTTTAAATTTTCAATTTGGTTTTTTTACAAAATGCACATTGCTTAGTTTTTGGAATTTTTTACTATACATATTAGTCGTGTGACATGTCCTAAAAATCAAGGGGCAAGTTTATTTTCCGAAAAATTTCCGGTGATCTACACAATTTTTT